TTAAGGAAGGTTTGTATGTATAATACATGCATATTGCACCCGTGCGAAGCCGGGGCGGGTCGCTAGTTCTCTTATAAAAAACTTTCTTTATCCCGCACAGAATACATATTTTAGCTTGATTAACACACTTCCTAACCTAAAGCAATATTCTATTGCCGAAAAAAATATTCAACTTGTATGAATTCTACAAAGCTTTACTCAAAAGAATAATAAATGTTCTATAGAAATTAAAAATTAAATATTAAGTAGGGTTTTCACGTGTTTGGCACATAAGGGTGCTTTAGAAAGTCAACATATTTTATTGAAATGATTATAGTCAAGTATACTATAGTCAATGAACTCTAATGTTGCTCCATCATTTCTAACTACAGTACAAAATGGTAGGTATCTCAATATTCCTTAATGCATGGTTGTATGGACGGTTTACTAAGGAACCTAGCCTAGGAGATAAAAATTGATAATAGAATTTATAGTCGTCCTAAAGGAAACGAATAGGGTTGTTAATAATGATTCTAATAGGTATCAGAGAATTCCATCATTTGTGTGTTCTCATGTCAAAAATGTTTCGAAAACTGTTACTCAGCATATTGCTACTTGTTTTCAACCGACTTCAAAAAAAGAAGGACGTTCTCAGTTCGTTTTGTATGTATATATGTGTTTGTGCAACGAGTTTTTGTGTTTCTAGTATTTTTCAATGTTGAATGACATTGCCTGATGACTCAGTTTCTGGTAACGAGCTGGATCGAACACCGAACACTCGGTTGTTAAATCTACGAAAACATTTACTTCTTTGTCTAACTGGATATATTTGCAGGATCAGGGTCCGATATTATTTGAAAATAAAACAAAAGGCTTCACACAATCACTTAGTTTATTTCGATTAAATGAACTTACTTTCACATTAATTTTTAATTATAATAATTGAATAATTCAGCACTGATTATATAAAGGAAACACTCAAATAAAACCAACAATAAAATTACTCAGCGATTGCGTAACGTGTGAACTGGGCAACGATCGACGAACGACTGCCTCGAGCTTGCGCTTGCGCTGCTTTATACCTCTATATCACTCGGTGGTGGGGTTGAAGTGACGTCGGTCAGTTGTTTGTTCACTGGTTGCCCATTACATTCGCAGTTTACAAAATAATGATGGCGGCGCCGTCATCTATATATATAAAAGAAAGTCGTGTTAGTTACACTATTTATAACTCAAGAACGCCTCGATCGAGTTAGATGAAAATTGGCAGGGAGGTAGCTTAGAACCAGGAGACGGACATAGGATACTTTTTATAGAATCCTTTTTTTTAATTTTTCCGAAAATCACGAACGGGAATGGGGGCAAAATGGGATTGCGCGTACGAAGTCGCGGGCAGAAGCTAGTATTAATATAAAACTACATGTGATATTCACACCTATTAACTGTCTCATAGTTGATAGAAGAATAACTATGTTTCAAACCCAGCAACAAGAAAAAAGATTACGTTTCTTCGTAACTAAGCACTTATTAATCAAGAGGAAAAAAATATTTAAGCCATATAAAAATGTGCACAGCTAGTAACGTGCGAAGATTTTTCTTTCTAAAATAGTATTTACGCAAGAATCACCATCTCTTAGCTGCAGCACTAATTAAACATTTATTGTATCCATCAATGTTAAATTCGTCTTCAGATAGACTCTCCAAATATATAACCAATGCATGAAAGAGAGTTTTTTAGTCTGATGCCTTATCTACATTTTTCTGCTTAGGACTATGCTATATGAGAAACTCTGCGGCAATAAAATTCTCAGTTTGATTTCACTTTCCATAATTTACCATAGACCATGCAATTTATGTTGATATTTAGCTTTGTTCGCAGCCGGCATCAGCGTCGTCAGTACTACTGGTGCACCTGGGTGCGGTGGGTGCGCTAGCGAGCGGTGCAGCGCTGTGCGGGGGCGGGGGTGCCTGCGTCTGTAGCGCTCTACTCCATGCGCTGCATCCGCTGCAGCTATGGACTGTGTGTGGCCTACATGCTGACCGAGCTGCCGCCATTGCTGCACCGCTGCATTATGCTGCTATCGTGTCCGCCAAGAAGGTAATAAAAATCGAATCTAAGCTGGAAATAGATCCCCATGCTTTACTTTTTGCAATGAATACAGTTTTTTTTTGTTTACAGGTATTAATTTGCGTGGCAAGCGGATGGGTAGCAACGGCAGCTTTACTAGCTCCACTGGCAGCAGCGCAGCCACCCCTGGCGTATAGCGCTGGGCTCGGTAACTGCGCGCCAGATTGTGGAGCTGGACCAGCTGCACTTGGTTTCTGCATCGTGTACGCGTCGCTCACGTTGATCCTGCCTGCTGCTCTCGTCCTCCTCTGCAGCCTAAAGATCCTCCGCATTGCACGCTACCATCGACACAGGATCGCAGCGGCCATATATGAAGTGACCCTATCAGCACAAGTGACAGTGACACACCAAAGAAATCCATTCTCCCCTCCACCGCCACCACGCAGGAGAGCACTATCGGCAGTACTTCAGCCCCTAGGTTCACTTGCCATATTATACTTTCCTTATTACTGCGTGTTGATATGGCCAGCAGTGGCGGTGCCTCCACAGCCACTAGCTGCTCTATCTGCTGCTCTTTTAGCAGCTGCACCACCAGTTAATGGTATCTTATACGGTATAAGGAGTCGAGCACTGCGTGATTCACTTCGTAATTATAGGAGAAAACGAATGACAAAAAGCGAAGTGACACAAGAGATACAGGCGAGGACTCCCAGTGCATGTGGATCTAGACGACCCTCGTTATCTGCTGGCTCAGGCTGTATACGACCCCCGACTACTAGGAGATTATCGGACGCAGCTGCGATGGGTTCGAGAGGCTCAGAACGACCAGCACAACGTGCAGCATCTTGCAATATGCTGCAAGACTCGCAGGAGGAGGAAGTAGTGCCACGACCTCGGACGTCGGCTATCCCTATAATCCGAGCTCCTCCACACGTGGTCCTTGGTCGAGCTCTAGGTCTTGAGGAGATGGGTGGTACGCGCGATCGACGACGTCGCCAATCGCCACGTATCACGGTGACGCGTGCTATGTCAGATGAGAGTGAGTCGCCGACGCGGCGGCCGCTGTGTCGGCAGCAGTCGCGGTCGAGCGGGGCTCTGTTGGGTGGCGTGCCATACTCGCCCGCCATCTCGGAGCACGTGCACTTGGACAGCCACGCCGATGAGCAGCTGCTGCTGACCTGGCCACAGAATGGCACTCACGAGAAACACGACGCTTTATAAAACGGGTATTACGCTTAGAGTAGTCGCTGATGTATGTGTATAAATATAAAGACAATAAGTAAATGTGTGTGCGGTTCGAAGTCGAGTTGCTTCGGTGTTTTGAGATGTTGTTATTTTTTAATCGCTTCGTCCACCCGTCTCTCGACCTCCCCGGACGGTGACCAAATATTATATGAAGTTTCCTATAACTATTTACAACTGTATCGTAGGCGTACGATTTCTCCTACAGGGTTCCTCCATATCGTTAGCTTTACCTACTGAAGTATTACTTTAGTGTATCGTAAAGATAATTTCCGAAATATTCCATAGGTTTAGTGATACGAGATTATGTTGTCTTATTTTATGAGCTGTTTACTTTGAAATTTATTTGTTTAAAGTTTTACATGTAAGAGAAAGAGTATATTAAATGTTGAATCAATTTCGTTACGGACATACAAATGAAGCCAAATATATTTTGATAGTCAGCTTATCTCTCAATGTGATTGATTGCAGAATGAGCCTCGTGTTACTGCGACAGCATTTATTTGTTTCATCAATGAAGCAGGTTCATTGTTGCGTTTCAGTCAGAGTATAACGTAGTTAGTATGGAAAATAATAAAAATCTGTATTTGTGTAAATAATGATATTATTAATAGTATAGGTTCAGATGCGAAAAATAAAGACCAAGGTCAAGCTTGTAAGTAGTTTTGTATAGATTTATAGTGGCTTGTCAAATGACGTGAGCGTATATTTCGATAAAACAAGGGATTGTACTCTTGAACACCTCCGCAAGTAAGTAGACGTTAATTCCCTAACAATGCTTATCTAGTTGATTAAATTATCTCCTTTTAATACATTTTGTGTCCTAACAGAGTCTCATGTCATTTGAGCAAGTCCGTTTAGCTTAGACCTAGGTCGGTTGAGTGCACATAGGTTTGCTAAGTGATAGTTTAAATATGCAACGCTTTTACGCATCGCAGCCGTCCAACTGGGAAACTCCTGTTCATTCTGTAGCTCCCCGTGCTTTCAAATATTATGCCAAACTTATATTAAAAGATGAAAAACAGTATATCTACTTTAAGTGAATATTTGGATTTTGGGTTACCACAAACATTGTTTTTTTTTAAGGGAAAATCTAATTCTCCCACCCGGGTGAGGCGGAAGGAGTGTCAGACTCTTACTAACTAAAAACCACCCCGTTCCTTCTCCCTTCGAGCCGGAGCCCCGGTAACCGTTAAGTTCTCCGCGGCTCATCAAAAACATAGTGAGAAAGCATTCATAAAGTACCTACATACGAATTTCCAAATATAAGGGTAAAAGAAAGGAATTTTAAAAAACAATCAAATATCAGCTTACTTCCGATTAATCTAATTCGGGCATTGTCATATAATATAAGTTTGGCGTTATCAGACCCTTATATAAATACTATTTTCGCCAATATGTATGGTTTATTACATTCTCATTATAGTATTCATTATATTTTACTCAGTACTTTTGTCGGCCTCAGTGCGAATGTATTTCTGAATATTGTGCACGTCTTATTTATATGCTAAAAGCAACTTTATTTTATATGCCATAAGATTCAGTGCAAAATTACTAGACATAGTCGTTAAAGTCGATATTTGTTTCAACTTTCTTTTATATGTTGTCTATATAGGGACCTACTTATTAGTAGACTCAATGTAAACTTCGATTGCTTTTCTTTAAACAAATACGACTTTAATGACACAAATTGCGTGTCTTTTAATTTTTATTAGTAAAATATTATTTTTTTACATCGATATCGATGTACCTGTGCTTTGGGTAAGCTATATCTACACACAAATAAATATAATTGTGTGACAGTGACAAACATAGTTTTCTCTATTTATTTCGAGGCCTAGAATGTACTGTCTACGCTTAATGAAAGATGAGGCCAATGAATAAATACAAAGAGTTAATATAGAGCTAAGAAATTATAAATATTATGTATTTTTGAAATGTTATGAATATGAGAATCCACTGTTGACACTGTTCGTACGAATTTAGTGAAATTGTACTTTTATGAAATAAAATATACTAGACGCTTATTTATTTGTTCTCAAAGAACTCTAAGTACTTGACTTTAAATATTTTGTTGAAGTACCTGTCTAAAATACGATAACAATTAAAAATATTAATTACGCCGAACGTGCATCCACAACTTTATAAACCATACCAAAATATTTCAATAATAAAAGAAATAAAAAATTACAAATACCCAAAACCTTGGACACCAAAGGTTTTCTTTTTAAAAATCAATCTGCAAGTTCTTTTTTCAATTTGGAATAGGTATTGTGTGCCTATAATAATATTATTTCGCATAGACAATTATAGATTTCCTTCAATCACATCACGAGTTCTGCCATAATAATAGAGTATATTTTGTAATGATTCCAAGAACTACTATTACTCAGAATTCTAAGTAATTATTATTACCTACATAATATTTTTATCTAGTTGATGGTAACAACATTGATTTTGCGATGTTTTTCTTAGAAAAGTGATGTAGATAGGCATAGTGTAAAGATTTATTTATAAAAAAAGGTTTAAATGTCGTTGTTCATGGTAAATGTTTAATAATAAAAATAAGTAAATACGAATTGTTATTCTAGTCAATGAGCTGTTGTTTTATGTATGTGTTAATTTAAATTAAATTATGTATTAGTGATTAATTAAATAACACATTATGAGATGATTCATAGTTTTATTTCTAGTATATGGAGTTTTATGAACCAAGTAAATATAATATATGTCTAGTAAATATGTTTACTAATACGATTTTGGATATAGTATTTTTAGATAATTCAATTTCTTCGAAACTGGCAAGGTGGGATAGAATTCGTCTCTGTGTATGAAAATAAACATTCCCCGTCTCCCTTTTACGGGAAACTTATACGTAATAGCCTATTAAGTATTTGTTGCTTATTTACACAAGTACATAGGTATATATAGGAACTATTAGCAATTTCTTTTTTCAATATAACTGATAGATAGATACTTAGAGAAAATAATAATGAAAATATATAATTTACTTATAACAAGCAATAAGTTAAAATCATTACATTAAATTCCTGACAACCAATTATTCATTTTTAATTCATGTATCATTTAGATATACCTACCTACAAAATACCTAAAGATTGTTTCATTTGTATCACATTCTCGTAAACACGATAACATAAAACCCAAAAACATCATTAAGCCAAGGATACAAGGGGACCAATGACATGCGTCACGTGTCGCCAACAACGTTGGGTGAAGTAGTGCGACGTTGCCGGACTTCGGTCGACATTCCTGGCTGTGTTCCTGGCAACATCAACGTCGCAGTGAACATAAGTCGCGTGTGTCAGGTGAAATCAGCCAACTAACGGACTGACTGACAGACTATTATTTATTTTGTATTTGTTGCGGTTTCAAAAGTACCAAATTATGGTTTAATTGAAATAAATGCTTTGACTTTGACTTTGACATCGTTTGACATGTCGCCGATACATGTCGTGCGCCAAAATCAAAATCGTCGCAATTATTTTATTATTATTGCTTCTTCATGAATACATCTTGAATTTTCGTGTTAAAATGGCGGCAGTCAGAATTTATAGGTTCATGAACTTTCCCGCGCAAATTGCTGTCAAAGTGTTGACGTAACGAACTAAAGGATTTAACGAGGTTTTACTCCACTTTAGTAAAACTAAGGGGAACATTTTAATATATTTTGGAGTTGAAAGAAATTATTTTTAACTGACACATTCAATGACACAAAATAATAAGGTATTCATTAGTAAAAAGTAATGGGCCAACTCTTTTTGTCTTTTTTAAAACGAACGTTCCTCCCACTAGGATTTTCTCCTATATAGTAGGTGCGTTTACAAACACACACATTCACAAAAACATGATACCCAGACCCGAAACAACGGATTATAAATCATAAAAAAAGTAGCTACGTGCGGGAATCGAAACCGCTACACGTTGCGCGGCAGCCGGTAGCCCAGCCACCGCACCAACCGTGCATCCTTTAAACTGTCAAACACCAAGCGGTCACCGGTGACCGCAACCTATTGTTCTATAATTGTGTCTACAAAACCGGTACTCGACGAGTTAAACAATAAAAAATTTCTCCATCTATATAAATACCTATTTGTGTATCTATCTAAGAAGCTATTTTCGATATATCTTGAATATTCCAAGTTATTTACTTGATACTAAAGTCTTCACATTCTGTGAACCGTAATATTCTTCAGTATCGAAATATGCAAAACGAAGTCGCAACTGGAATTAAATTTGATCTCGTAAAGTTAGTTTAAGCTCAAGCTTTCTACTTAGAAAATGTGTGCTATTGAAGTATCGAATATTATACCCTCTTTCCCCTTCCGTTATTGTCTATAGTTATCCGTAGCTATAATAACAATAATTAGGATTTTAACCTGTTGAAAGTGATATGTAACGCAGTCAAAAAATAGTCAAGTTTATATGTTCCTAATTGACTTTAAGGTAATCTAAAAAAAACCCGCTCTGTGGAAAACAGTCATGGTGGATTATAACCTGACTTAATATTTTATTCTAAAAGTCTTCGATCAACAATAACAACTAGATATCGGGTCAGCGCAAGAAAATCGTCTTGACAAATAAGAGCTCACTTGAGAAGTGAGCTCTTATTTTGTTTAGTATGCTCCAAACACGGCCAACGTACTCACGTCTCACGATGCCGCAGTGCATAAATTGCAAGTTGCAAAAATAACAACCGAAAAAGCAGTATAACGGCCGGAGTGTCTTACTTTTGATAAATACATAAAGTATAAGTTATATTTTAAGTTTTTAAACTAGTAAATAATATCAAATTAGACAAAATTATCAATTATAAACCAACGCCACCAATGTTTGTGCGTGTGTTGGCGATTCCTTGGCCAAGCCTCGCCAACATTTGTTTAAACAGAACAGTGGATGCATCGAGTCGATTTGTATTGAAAAATAAAATTGTATTGTTTCTTGCTCGTTCTTCTCCATAGGAATCTACACCTTGGAATGAGCAAATAGCTTCACTTTTAAATTTATATTGTTGACGTTCAAAAGTGCCTTCCTGGTCTAACTGAAATAAATGATTTCGACTTAGACTTAGACTTTTAATGATAAAGTAAATAAACATATCATACACAAAAACGTATACCGCTAATAAAAATTAGTGATGTATACTAAGATCCCGAAATCTTAATTTTCATATTA